CTGCTTAAACACAATCACCTTCCCAAAAGGCTATATCTGCATCTCCAGGACTCGGAGCCACACTAGGCCCTCTGTTCTAAACAGTGTTGTTTCCTGTACAGCATGCTGGCAGTGTGGAGGCAGGAGAGGCACCTGGATGGTCTCTTCCAGACATTTACCCCAGTAGTGGGCTTATACCACCCTTCCACCTCACTCTACTGTTGTTCCTCCCATGGTTTGCTTTCTGCTTTGCCACGTCTCGACCACGACTCCACTTCGCAAACACAAAGCTCTGCTGTTGCCACCACACAGTAGTCCCTGCAGCGCCAGGCAAGTTCTGAACATCGAGCTCATGGTATCCGCTGGGGGCAGGTATCCGCTGGGGGGGCAGTTGGAAATCGGGCCCGGATCCTGGGGCAACAGAAGACACCCAACCGCGGCAGTATGTCACCGTCTTGGCCAGAGCTGCATCCAGCCACACACGGGCTCGGGGCTGAGATCAGGTGTCCGGTGGCAATAGGATTGTATGCTGGCTGAGGTAGCTGAAGATCTGGAACACGACTGGAGCGTGTCTTGGAAATGTCTCCACGGGACTTTCAACAGCAGTTGGCATTTGGTGATTGTGCACTTTTCCCCGTGACGTCTTCGATCTCGAACCCGTGTTTCGCTGTGAGCCCCTCTGGCATCTCTGCACTTCCTCCGTGCTCCACAAGGCCAAGGCAGTGATTGTGCCGAAACATGACTGATGCCAGGACATGCTGGTCAGAGGTGGGGCCACCCAGCGCTCCACTAATAGCAGAAATCGTGGATTATTCCAAACTCATACAAAAGAGTACAGCACACCCTGATGTGTCTCTGTCCCCCTCTCTCTCTGTGGCCAGATCTGTCCCCCCGTCTCTCTCTCTGTATCCAGATTGTGTCTCTCTGTATCTAAATTTGACTCTCTCTCTGTGTCCAGGTCTATGTCTCTCTGTGTGTCCAGATCTGTCTGTCTCTGTGTCCAGATCTGTCTCTCTCTCTCTGTCCAGGCCCATCCTTTATCTCTCCCTCCCTCACTCTTTCCCCAAGTTCACCTATCCAGAGCACAGTGGTTCTCATGGGTTTGGGGAGGACGTGTGTGTTTCTGTGTGTGCTTCAAATCAAAACCTCAATCAACAAAACCAATCAATACATACAGAAATAAATACTGCTGATTAACTCAAACACCCTTTCGCTGTTGTGACCATTCTCCTGTTTTTTGGAGGGGGAGGGGAAAACGACATTTAAAAAATAAAACGAATAATAGCGATAACAGTTATAATAATAACTTTCTTAAAAAAGTTGCATTAACTCTATTCCCCCACTCCCACTCCAAATCTCCAAACAGCAGACTGCGATCTGTCCATGTTAAACTCAGAAAGGTCCACCGCGCCTGTGGTCCGTACACACCCCCGGGGGTTGGGTGAGCTAGGGCTCAGGGTCTGAAGGCTTAACGGGGAATCAGCCTCAACCACACGGCTGGGAAGCTTGTTTCAGCCCCCTGCCACCCTTTGTGTAAAAATTGGCTTCCCGTCTCCAATCCGAAATCCCCTCTCTCTTGGTTTTTTCGCTTGTGCACCCCAGTCAGCTGGGAACCGGGAGGCAGGGAAGGTGAGGGAGGGACTAGGCTCACACAGGGTCAGGGTGAAGGTTCGGGGGGCGCGATGCAGGGCCAGTGTGCACAGACTCAGGTGCGCGGGACCTCAGCCACGAATCGACAACTGCTCTGACACTACACTCCCCATCAAGACAAAACCCCAAAGGCAGCCCCCCCCCTGCCCCCCCCAGCCTGCCCAGCCTCACCGCACGGCTTTGTGCCTGCCCCCACAGCAGCC